GCGAAGAAGCATGAATGGCAGCAGCAAAAGCAATGGCAAAAGCGAAAACCGATTTCTGGGCAAAGTTCTTGACGAGTAACAAGGTATTCTGGCAGACTCTCCAGAACCTCAAAGATTGAAAGAAGTGCAGATTAAAAGTTCTGAAGGACAAGTCTGAAATGTATTTTACCAATGATAAGAACGTGTATCGACGGTAGGGAGAATACTTTGAGTAACTTATTAACTCTGAACAACGGGAGGAAGACTCGCCTGAAGAGCAGCAGGTAATAAATGCCAGTCTGAAGATCAGATGATGAGGTCACGAAAGCTGTTAAAAGGCTGAAAGATGTCAACGTTGCTGGAATCGATAAAATCCACATTGAATGAACTGCTTAAAGCATTAGGCGAATAAGACATGTTGCTGATATCTGGTGTTTATAAAACTGCAGTGGCTACGGAGGAGAAACACGTTGAATGAATATCGGGGTTTGTGGTACCGTTGTTCAAAAGAGGATACTCCAATCACCGGCATTAATCTACTGAACCGTCCAGGGAGAGTCTGCGTGAAAGAGTTAGAAAACAGGTTCTGCAGAATAACTGACATCATGAAACAAGAGTAGCAGTGTTGATTCAGAAGAGGTCTAAGCACTTTTGATCTGAGCATCGCTCGCCTCACTCATAATGATGATGATGACGTTTCACCTCACTCACTCACAATGTTGATGAAAAATCGTTGGAGGTCGCTCATCTCATTGACGTGTGCTTTTTGAACGTGCAGAAACTGCATGACTGGATCCCGCAAACATGTGGGATCGACGGCTATTTGCTCCGGGCCATCCAGTGTGCATATGTTGGTAGCAGAAGCTGCGTCTGAGTAATTGGCACTATGCCAAACTGTTTATTTTGGTGTTGACTCCGCGAACGATGCCTTCTATTCACTTTCTTATTCGATAGAGCATTATTATGCATTAGTGTGACAGATGTAAAGTCGAGAAAGTTATTGTTTGCCGAAGACACGTTAACACCTTCTGAAACTGATATCCAGGGCTCTGGAAATGTTCGCAGCTGAGAGTGCGACGTGGATGGCATGTGTATGAACGCATCTAAACCGAAAAGCGTAGTGCTTTCTCGTTTTCCCTCCCGCTGCTCTTTTCGGATTAACGGAGAGGCAGTGGAGCAAACGGAGATGTTCAAGTACCTCAGAATTGTATTTTACTAGTGATGGAAATTTGGAGGAAGAGATCGACTGGATAATTGGAGTAGCCGGTGGCGTTCTGCGTGAACCAGCCCGACCCATTGTGACTAAAGCAAAGTTCAGTCTGAAAACTATGCTCTCGGTGTTCAGGTCGATCCTTATTCCCATGCTTATCTAGGGTCATGAGTCGTGGACCATCACTGAAAAGCTTCGAATCCAGGTACAAACGGTCGAAACTGGCTTTCTGAGTCG